TTTTCTTTATTTTTTTCTCTGTACCTGCGGTATTCATTGGATTACCACCTGTAGCAGAGAGAGATGGCCCAGATTCCACACCAAATGAATATGACGATCAGGCTCATTAGCCCGGAGCCACAGCGATGGCAGCACGATTGGGATAGACACACCCATACTTTTGCGGGCATCCTTACTATATTTTTTAGGAGAGTGGCAGGACCCGGAGGTGGTGTCCCTATTACCATAAGGACTAGACTAACCCTTGACTTAGATAATAATAATCCTTTTCAGCCCATACTACCACCAATTCCCCCTCCAGCTGAGGAGGAGGAAATGGATATTGATATTCCAGAGGATTATGATCCTTTGATCATCGATGAGTCTGAAGATATGGATTCAGAGTAGTACTGATGCTACTTTGTTTTTTTTTGTATAGTGGCGAAGGTTAGTCGTAGGTAGTATTTTGCTATACATAGGTCTTTATGATATCGGGTAGAAGTCACTCTTTTTGATTAGTTATGCTGCTCTGTAGGAAGTCATCTCCAGTGTTGCTTTTATTATTTTGAAGAACGGTAACTGATGTTTCATATGAATGTAATTATGTTGATAGGTGAAATGGTAAGTGAGTTCCTCAATTAACAGTGTTGTGTAGTGCAGAGAATTTACTAACCATTTTACCCTTTGTATTACTGTAAAAAGGATATCTAAATATTTATGAAAGTTTACCTTAAGTACTTTATAAAGTGACAAAATTCTGAAATGTGTTATTATGTATGAAGGGAACATTATTAGTATATATATATATATATAAATCAAAGCACTAATTCCCTAATTGGGAGTTTGTAAATCAACAGATGGTACAAAACTGAAACCCTAACCTTTTAAAACTCACCTCCAAGCGTTCCCTACACGAATCCAAGCTCCAATCTCGCTCCCGAACGACTTTGGAGGCAATTAGTCGGTGAAAACGGGTTTTGGGTTGAGAGGATTGAAGAGATTTGGGAGGGAATTTGAGAAATGAACCTCGAATCCCTAAACCCCCTTTTAAAACCCCTCTGATCGCGACACTCTCGCTACAGCGAGATATTCTCCCCTCGCTGCAGTGACACGCCCTCTCGCTACAGCGGAAAAACCAGAGAAAACTGCACTCTGGTTTCTGCAGAATCTCGCTGCAGCGAGACCCTTTCGCTACAGCGAGACTGCACCCAGAAATGCACCCCAAAATTGTCGCTCTCTCGCTACAGCGAGAAGGCGACACTTCTAATCCTTCCTCCCAGGGCCCTCTCACTACAGCAAGGATCCTCTCGCTGCAGCGAGAGCAACCTAGTATCTCGCTCTGCACTCAACCCAACCAGTCATACATATACACATATATACATACACATAAACATCATTTTTCAATACATCAACACACATGAAAATACCTTTATTTGTATACAATTATCAATAATTAAGATTACAAAATTCAGGGGTTACAACTCTCCCCTCTTTTAAGGAATTTTGTCCCCGAAATTCAACCAAATACACACATATTACAAAAACAACCCCGGGTACAGTTCTCTCATTCTACTCTCCGTTTCCCATGTGGCATCTCCCTCATCACTATAGCTCTAAATCACCTTCACCAATGATATCTCTTTACCCCTCAACTGTTTAACACAGTGATCAGCAATCCTCACCGGGTATACGTCATACGACAAGTCCTCTCTTACTTGAACCGGGTCAAGATCAATCATATGGGAAGGATTCGGCACATATTGCCTAAGTTGCGACACATGGAACACCGGATGTATATTCGAGAGATTCGGAGGCAATGCAATCCGATATGCAGCAGAACCAATCTTACTCAGTACTTCGAACGGTCCAATGAACTTAGGAGACAGCTTCCGAGATTTTAGAGCTGTCCCCACTCCGGTTACAGTTGAGACTTTTAGAAATATGTGGTCACCCACCTGAAACTCCAACGACTTCTGCCTTCTATCAAAATAGCTCTTCTGTTGATCCTGGGTTGCCTTCATTTTATCTCTGATCATTCTAATTTGCTCATTCTGCCTTTGGATCATATCTGGCGCACACAAAGTCACCTCTCTGGTTTCATACCAACACAACGGAGTTCTGCACCTTCGCCCATACAAGGCCTCAAACGGTGCCATTCCAATGCTAGCATGGTAACTGTTATTGTACGTGAATTCCACTAGCGACAAGCACTCTTCCCAAGTCCCCTGTTGCTCGAGCACACAAGCCCTCAACAAGTCTTCCAGGGATTGGATGGTCCGCTCAGTCTAACCATCAGTTTGTGGGTGATAGGCTGAGCTCAGCTTCAACTTAGTCCCCAACGCCCGTTGCAAGCTCTCCCAAAACCTCGAGGTAAACCTCGGATCTCTATCTGACGCAACACTAGTCGGTACTCCATGCAGCTTGACTATCTCTCGCACATACAACTTCGCAAGTCGCTCCAATTTATACCTCATGTTGATCGGGAGAAAGTGTGCAACCTTGCTTAATCGATCTACTATCACCCAAATGACATCATGGTTGTTCCTGGTCTTAGGCAACCCAGAAACAAAGTTCATAGAGATTCCAACGGCTGTAACAACCTAGGTGGACGCTGGTGCTCTACCTTCGCTTTCTGGCAAGTTAGGCATTTAGTCACATATTCAGCCACATCTCTCTTCATACCATTCCACCAAAAACTCTTCCGGAGATTCTAATACATTTTAGTTGCACCGAGGTGAAAACTCATCTTGCTCTTATGTGCTTCCTCAAGCACCATTTGTCTCAGCTCATCCACTTGAGGAATGCACACTCTGTTTTGGAACTTAATCACCCCGTTCTCATCACGGTGGAAATCCAAGTCCTTTCCCTCATCCTTCTGTCTCATCATGTCTTGTAGGAAAGCAGCTCCCTGCTGAGCATCTCGGACGTATATCAGAAAGTCGTTGTGAATCATCGTCGCTCTAAGATATAGACTCCCCAGCCTCACCTCCATGGCCAAATTCATGTCCCAAAATTCCTCAATTAACTCCATTTCTTTCACCATCATTGCTGCCACGTGCAATGATTTCTGGCTCAATCCATCGGCTACCACATTTGCCTTGCCAGGGTAGTAAGACAATGTGAAGTCATAGTCCTTGAGAAATTCCATCCATCTCCTCTGCCGCATATTCAGCTCTTTGTGATCAAACAAATACTTCAAGCTTTTGTGATCACTGAACACCTCAAACCTCGCTCCATATAGGTAGTGCCTCCACACCTTAAGGGCAAAAACCACCACGGCTAACTCTAGATCATGTGTCGGATAGTTGACTTCATGCGGGTGCAACTGCCTCGAGACATAGGCGACCACTCGCCCATCTTGCATCAAAACACGACCAAGCCCTTGCCCGGATGCATCATAATACACATCAAACTTCCGCCTCGGGTCAGGTAGAGCCAACACCAGCGCCGAAGTCAATCTTATTTTTAGTTCCAAGAAACTAGCTTCACACCCCTTGGTCCACTTGAACTCCTTTCCTTTACGGGTCAGCTTCGTCAAGGGCAATGCTAGCTTGGAAAACCCCTCAATGAGTTTCCTATAATAGCCCACTAATCTTAGAAAACTGCGCACCTCTGTTACATTCGTCGGCCTCGGCCACTCAGCGATTTCTTCCACTTTTGCAGGGTCCACCATGATCCCTTCCTTCGACACTACATGCCCCAGAAATTGGATCTCTGACAATCAGAACTCACACTTGGAGAATTTCGCATACAGCTGTCTCTCTCTCAAAATTTGTAAGACAATCCTCAAGTGCTCAGCATGTTCTTCCTGAGTTTTTGAATAAATTAGGATGTCGTCAATGAACACCACCCAAACTTATCCAAAAACTCGTGGAAGATCCTGTTCATGTAGTCCATGAACACCGCAGGCACGTTGGTCACCCCAAACGACATCACCAAGTACTCATAGTGACCATACCGCGTCCTGAACGCCGTCTTAGGTACATCTACATCTTTCAGCGGATTTGATGATATCCCGATCTCAAATCGATCTTCGAAAACACTGCGGCTCCTCTTAATTGGTCCATCAAATCATCAATCCTCGGAAGTGGGTACTTGTTCTTGACTGTCACCTTATTCAGCTGCTGGTAATCCACACACATTCTCATGCTTCCATCCTTCTTCTTGACCAAGAACACTGGTGCTCCCCACGGTGACACACTCGGTCTCACAAACCGTTTCTGTAACAAGTCTTCTACTTGCTTCTTGACCTCTGCCAATTCTACTAGTGACATCCTGTAAGGTGCCACAGAAATCGGACTTGCTCCCGAAATGAGGTCAATAGCAAACTCTATTTTCCTCTCAGGCGGTAACTCAGAAACATCTTCGGGGAAAACCTCCAGGAAGTCCCTCACCACCAGAATATACTCCGGCTCAACCACATTTTCTGCATCCATCAAAAACATCACCATAAAAGCCTTGACGTTTACCGTGTTCTCCCATGCACCTTGGCTCATAAGTCTTGGAACCTCTACAATTGTTGCCCCGAAGATCAAGGTCTTCTCCCTACAGTTCAGCAACACATGGTTGGCAGCAAGCCAATCTGTACTGAATAAAGGTCAACACGGTCCTACTGGTTGGTAAAGGAAACCGAGTACCTATTCAGTATAATAGGTCGGATACCCTTCGTCAGGATTAAAAGGTAATTAACCTAATTAAGGGTAATAATTAAAATATTATTTAAATTAAGAAAAGGGCCAAAAGTCAAGGCTGACTCAGCAGGCCCATTAGCCCATTGTAATGCCTATAAAAAAAAGGTAAGAAATGCAGGTAAAAGGTTGACTTATCTTTATTAAATAGCATTTATTGCTCAGAACCGAATCCTGACTTCAGCATCGGAGTGCCTTTTGCAGGTTCCCTTCCACGTCAACAGCAGTTAGAGAAACGTCAGCACGTCCACCGTGGGGCACGATTAGCCTCATTTTTTAGAATTAAACATAGCACTAACGAGAAGCCAGCAGGAAGGAACCTCTCGGCAACAAATGAAGGGTGTCACACCAGAGGAACCGATACCTGAAGTGGTGATGCAAGGAGGAACAGATGAGAGCATTTTAACTGTACTGAGGCAGCTTAGGGTAGAAATGACGGAAATGAAGAAGGAACGAGAGAGGGATGCATTGGAGCTTTCGGCTCTAAGAAGGGAAAATGCTAACCTAAGAGAAGAGATAAGGACACACATCCCCTCCCAAACTACACCCATCATCCGGGATCAGGAGGAATCCTCGGTGTTGTAAGAAAGGTCAAAACAAGTTTATCAATCTGTAGCCAAAAATGACCGAGATGATCTAGCGAACCAAAGCCCATTCGTTCACCATATTCTGGAAGCTAAGCTGCCTGATAATTGGAGAGGATTGGCAATAGACAAGTATGATGGTACATCTGATCTTGGAGAACATATGGATGTCTTTATAACCCAAGTCGGTCTGTACACAGAAAATGATGCTTTATGGTGTAGAATTTTTCCCACTTCACTCCGAGGGCCTGCACTCAGTTGGTTCACCCGACTCTCCCCTTTGTCCATCGACTCTTTTGCAACTCTCACAAGACGTTTCAACTTGCAGTTTGCCACAAGTCAACCTCATCCCTTAACATCTCTGGCCCTAGTCAATATTCGCCAAGAAAAGGGAGAACCACTTAGAGCATTCATGGAACGCTTTGGCAAAGCGACTTTTTTAATCCATAACTTGGAACCAGTGGTGGCTATACACCACCTCACAATAGCCTTAAAGCCAGGACCTTTTGTTAATAGCATCTGCAAAAAACCCCCCGTGGACCTAGACGAGTTAAGGAGTCGGGTTGCAAAGTATATGCAGATGGAAGAATTATCCGAATACCGAAACCAGGTACAAATAGACCAAGGGTCCAATTCAAAAAATACAGACAGGAGAGAAGCTTTCAAGGCTAGGCAGGGAAACGAGAGAAGAAATGAACTTGAAAGGCCGCCCCGGGGACCTAAGTATCCTTCCTACACTACGCTCAACACTAACCGGTCTAGAGTACTTGATCAGGCGTTGGCCATAGAAATATTGAGAATGCCTAGACGCGCCAACACTCCTCCTCAGGAAGATAAAAGTAAGTCTTGTCGATACCATCAGAACAGGGGTCACACTACCGAGGAGTGCAGCGCGCTGAAAGACAAAATTGAAGAATTAATCAAGGAAGGACATTTAAAAGATTTTGTACAGACAAATTCCATGGGGCAACCTAACAGAGGAAGAGACTGTTACCCTGAACCACCAAAGAGGTCTGACGACAAAAAATTTGAACGACATAGGAGCAGGTCCAGGGAACTCCCAACTAAAAGATATGATAAGCGAAAGAAGTATCCCAAAAGGGTCATTAACACCATAGCTGGAGGGTTCGCCGGTGGAGGACCTACCCATTCAGCCAAAAAGAGGCATCTCAGACATGTCCGTTCTGTTAATAATGTTTCATTGGGCAGCAAAATCCGGATCCCACCTATTACGTTCATTGACAATGACTTTCAAGGAGTCGATCCGGTGCAGGATGATCCCATGGTCATTAGTGTAGACATTCTTAATTGCACTGTTTGGAAAACACTAATTGACCAAGGGAGCTCGGCTGACATCTTGTATTGGAATATGTTTAAGCAATTAGGCATCTCTGAAGAAGAGATCAGAGAATATCACGAACTGTTAGTCAGTTTTTCTGGGGAACGAGTAGAGCCTAGGGGATGTATATTGACTTGTATACCTCGTTTGGATCAGAACATGAGGAAAAACGTATAAAAATTACTTATCTTGTAGTACATGCGAACACCTTCTATAATATACTACTCGGCAGACCATCCCTGAATAAATTGAAGGCCATAGTATCCACTCCGCACTTGGCCATGAAGTTTCCATCTGAAAGAGGCCGAATCGTTACAGTCCATGCTGATCAGAAAACAGCCAGAGAATGCTACTTCGCAAGCTTACGTATTAGACCCTTTCATGGGAATAGTCGAGATGTCAATATTGTATCTCCTCGGTTGGGAGAGGACTTAGATGTTGAACTTGATCCCAGAATGGATAAGGGATATTGGGTTGAGCCTAATGAAAACAAGCAACCTTTCCAACTTGGAGCAAAACTAGAACAAGTTGCTTATTTAGGAGTCGGTTTGAATGCATAAGAAAAGCAAATTTTTCAGGAAATGCTGCTAAATAACGCCGATTTGTTTGCTTGGACAGCCTCGGACATGCCTGGCATCGATCCAACATTTCTTTGTCAACACTTATCGGTCTACAAGGGGCCAAACCAATAGCTCAAAAGAAGAGAAAAATTGGTAGCGATAGAGCAAAGGCAGTAGAAGAAGAAACCGGCAAGCTACTACAGGCAAGCTTTATCTGAGAAGTCAGGTATTCAACATGGTTAGCCAACGTCGTCATGGTTAAAAAAGCCAACGGCAAATGGCGAATGTGCAAGGACTTCACGGACCTCAACAAAGCATGCCCAAAGGATGCATACCCCCTACCAAACATTGATACCCTGGTCGATGGTGCAGCCGGTCACAGAATACAGAGTTTTTTGGATGCTTATTCTGGATATAATCAAATATGAATGTATCCCTGGATGAGGAGAAAACGACATTCATCACAAATTCAGCAAATTTTTGTTACCGAGTGATGCCGTTCGGTTTGAAGAATGCAGGGGCAACATACCAGCGAATAATGAACAAAATTTTCGAGAAGCAAGTGGGTAAATGCATGGAGGTGTATGTGGATGACATGGTGATTAAATCCCTCGCATTGAAGCAACATCTTGACCACTTGAAGGAGGTATTCGGTGAAGCTAGGAAGCATGGTATGAGGTTCAATCCTGAAAAATGCACATTTGGTGTAGCTGGCGGTAAATTCTTGGGTTTCATGTTGTCCGAAAGGGGGATTGAGGCAAACCCCGATAAATGTAAAGCCATGATCGACATGGCCAGCCCTCAGAATGTCAAGGACGTTCAACGACTTGCCGGGCGGATTGTAGCCCTCGCTAGATTCTTGCCAATAATGGCAGAAAGGTCTCGGCCTTTCATTGAATTATTGAAGAAATCCTAAAAATTTGCTTGGTCCAACGAATGTGAGGACGCCTTCGTCCAATATAAACACGTGCTAGCAGCGCCACCTGTGTTAACAAAACCAAAAACTGATCAGGAAATGATTGTTTATTTGGCCGTGTCCGATAACGCCATTAGTTCGGTTTTACTTCAAGAAACACCTGAACCGGCTCCCGTATATTTCATCAGCAGAACACTTCAAGGTCCTGAATCCTAGTATCAATTAATGGAGAAAGTGGTACTTGCCCTAGTCCACACAGCTCGTCGGTTAAGACACTACTTTCAGAGTCATCGGAGGGTGGTACGTACAGATTGTCCAATGGCCAAAATTTTAAGGAAACCAGAATTGGCTGGTCAATTGGTAGCATGGACAATTGAACTATCTCAATTTGACATTCATTTTGAGAACCGACGCCCCTTTAAAGCTCAGGTGTTAGCCTACTTCGTCAATGAATTCACTGTACAATGACATACTACTTCAGACATGTGGAATTTGCACGTTGATGGATCATCAAACCGACTAGGTAGTGGAGCTGGGGTCATTCTTGAAGGGCCGAACACATTTTCCATTGAACAATCCATTCGGTTTTGATTCAAGGAATCCAATAATCAAGCCAAATATGAGGCTTTACTTGCCGATTTCAGACTAGCGAAGGAGATGGGAGTTAAACGTATTACTGGTTGGAGTGATTCAAAAATTGTGACCGAACAGGTTAACGATACATATCAGGTTAGAGACTCGGTTATGCTTAAATATTACCAAGAAATCAAGAGAATAAAAGATGAGTTTGAGGAGGTATGTGTTCGGTACACGCCAAGAAACATGAACGAACGAGCCGACAAGCTAGCTAGGCTGGCTAGCCAACGGAAACCAGGGCAGTTGCAAAGTGTGGTTCACCAAGAAATCCTCCAACCCAGTATCGCCAAACAAGAATGCATGGACATAGAAAATTCATCTCATAATTGGATGACCTCACTCATCCAGTACCTCACCGATGGCAGCTTACCAAAGGATACAACTTCAACTAAGAAAATAAAAACACATGCAGCTAAATACCTTCTTCTCAGCAAAGACTTGTACAGAAGAGGAATTTCAACCCCTATGCTTAAATTCCTAGACAACGACCAAGCTAACTACGTCATGAGGAAAATCCATGAAGGTATTTGTGGTACCCATTCGGGAGGACGAACTATGGCAGCAAAAATACTTAGAGCCGGATACTACATGGTCCTGCCAACAACATGGTCCTCACCTACACCAATTGGGGAATGGACCTCCTCGGTCCTTTTCCTTTAGCAAAAAGGCAATGTAAATTTCTCATGGTCGCTATGGATTACTTCACCAAATGGATCGAAGCCGAACCCCTTGCCACCATCACGGCCAACAATGTACAGAAATTCACTTGGGGGGCTAGTGTACTGAATAAAGGTCAACACGGTCCTACTGGTTGGTAAAGGAAACTGAGTACCTATTCGGCATAATAGGTCAGATACCCTTCGTCAAGATTAAAAGGTAATTAACCTAATTAAGGGTAATAATTAAAATATTATTTAAATTAAGAAAAGGGCCAAAAGTCAAGGCTGACTCAGCAGGCCCATTAGCCCATTGTAATGCCTATAAAAAGAAGGTAAGAAATGCAGGTAAAAGGTTGACTTATCTTTATTAAATAGCATTTATTGCTCAGAACCGAATCCTGACTTCAGCATCGGAGTGCCTTTTGCAGGTTCCCTTCCACGTCAACAGCAGTTAGAGAAACGTCAGCACCGCAAAGCAGAGACTTGAAGACCCATGTTATCTTGACAGGAACACAATCCATTCCCAGAATCACATCCAATTGAGAAAGAGGTAAACAAATCAAGTCCACCTCGAACTCCCTACCGTGTACCATCATTGCACACTCCAAACACACCCATGAAGTCACAACCAGCTTACCTGTAGGGGTAGTCACCACAACATTACATGGCAATTCAGTCACATACAAGTTCAAAATCTTCACACAGTCCACAGATATAAAAGAGTGCGTAGCACCCGAATCAAACAGTACATCAAGCAATCGACCCTTAATAATGCATTTACCTCAGATCAGCTCCTCTGACTGTGAAGCCTCTGCCCCACTCATAGCAAAGACTCGACTAGGAATACTTGGCTTCTGCCCCGAACTTGGCCCCGTACTTCCTCTTGATTCCGATCTCTGAGCTACACTTGCACTACCGCTTCTCTTAGCGGCCCAGCACTCATTGGCAATGTGCCCCAACTTCCCACAGTTGTTGCAAGTCATCCTCGGCTGTGGGCAATCCTTCACCATGTGTGGCCCACCACACCTGAAGCACTTGAGCGGCCCTCTAAAAGAACTCGATCCAGAACCACTTCCACTACTCCTCTCTTGAGATGAACTCCCTCAAGACTGAGAGCTGTTCGAACCCGAATACGGTCCCCTTGAGAACCTAGGGGGTCTTCTATCTTGCCTCACAGGGCCGGCTCCCCTAGTGTCCACTATCTTCCCTCTTGAGTTAGCTTCAAAGATTCTGCTCTTGCTCACCAGAGTAGGCAAGTCTGTCAATTGAAACACACTGACTGCAGCCTGGATGTCTGGCCTCAATCCATGCTCAAACTGAGCACACAGATCCTCCTCTCCATTACCATGCTGATAGTGAGGTCAGTACTTCATCAACTCTTTGAACTTAGCCGCATACTCCCCAACAGTCATACTTCCTTGCTTCAGCTCAAGGAACTCCCTAGCTTTCTGCTTCCTTAGGTCCCGGGGAAAGTAGTTCCCAAGGAAGATGGTCTTGAATGTCTCCCATTGGATGTAGCCATCCTCTTGTGGCAGAGTCTGACCGGCAAACATCCACCAGTCCTCAGCCTCCCCACACAGCAAATAGGTGGCATAGGCAACCTTGTTCTCCTCACGGCACCCCATAGCATTGAAGATCTTCTCCACATCAGCCACCCACCTTTGAGCTCCTTCGGGGTTGAACCCACCCTCAAACTTTAGAGGATCATGCTTAGTGAAGGCAGATAACCCTCTATACTCAGCCGACTCCCCGCCTTGATTATGCACCATGGCTTCCAGAATCTGAGTCATGCGCTCTATGAGGTCATTGGTGCCTCTAGCTCCTCTACCTCTACCTTTACCTTTACCAGACATATTCTAAGCTACACAATTTAACACTCATAGTCCAGCACATCAAATCAATAATACATTTATAATTCAGGCAAACAAAACAATCAACACTTATCTTGGACGCCTGATACCCCAGTCTGGTTTTGATGAACTGCTCTAATACCAAAATTGTAACACTTTAAATTTAATTTCAATAAATAAAGAATTTCACAAATTTTTAAAATAATAAAATTCTTATTTTCAATCCAAGTTCATTAAACATTGCAAATACAGAAAGGGTTTACAAATTATATCGAACAATTACTACAGGACTTATTTCAAATGCAACAGTTTTCAAAATAATATTCTAAGCCCTATAGTAGTTCCATCCACCCCTTCACTGAGCCCGGCGCTGATCGTCTTGATTACTTGAAAAATGAATGTAAGGATGAGTACTCTACACCACCAAAACACACAAGTGGGCATAGAGTCTCACCTCCAAATACAATTCAATACATTTATGCATAACCAAACACAAACAACATTATCATTCAAAATCGATGCACACATGGCACCAACCGGATTTCACATTCATTAAACACAATTAACAACATTCCCATGCATATGCACGCCAGTCATATTCACATTGACACTATGATCACAGATTTACACTATGAATAGTCGCCAGTTATCTCCACCTCACGGATACCACGTGGACAGTCACGGGTTGCTCAGCAAAGGTAATGCTCAGAGGTCTAGTCAGGAAGAGAGTGTGTGGCCTGTGGTGCACCTGTTCCACAGTCGGTGTCAGCACCACTCCCTCTTCCCCAAGGTATTTCTACTGTCTTCATCTCCCACACCCCTAGTGTATCGCTGAACCATTCACAACATATTACAACAGCGTTGCACGCCCTAGTCACACACATTTCGATATACGGCACATAGCCCACAATTAACAGTTCACGGCACTAGGCCCATATTTCATTTTCACAGCACACACAGCACATAGCTCGCAATTCATTCAAGACACACGGCCCCTAGCCTATTTCCATTTATATTACACGACCCTCGGGCCCACATTTTCACACAATATGCCAGAGGTCAGACACCTCCAGACTCAACCCAATTCGTACAATTCATCAATACACATAAAAGAATAGGGTAGAGCTCCCCTTACCTTGGATTGAAGACCCACATCTGAACTCAACCACGGAAATGCTCCCCACACAATTTTCGCCCTGCACACATGTAAGAATTAAATGAGAACCCCAAAAATCACCCAAAATTAGAGAAAGGGAAGGAAAATCGAAACCCTAACCATTTAAAACTCACCTCCAAGCATTCTCCACACGAATCTGAGCTACAATCTCACTCCCGAACAGCTTTGGAGGCAATTAATCGGTGAAAACGGGTTTTGGGTTGAGAGGATTGAAGAGAATTGGGAGGAAATTTAAGAAATGAACCTCAAATCCCTAAACCACTTTTTAAAAGCCCTCTGATTGCGACACTCTCGCTACAGCAAGATATTCTCCCCTCGCTGCAGCAACACGCCCTCTCGCTATAGCGGAAAAACCAAAGAAAACTGCACTCTGGTTTCTGCAGAATCTCGCTACGGCGAGACCCTCTCGCTACAGCGAGACTGCACCCAGAAATGCACCCCAGACTGTCACTCTCCCGCTACAGCGAGAAGGCGATAGTTCTGGTCTTTCCTCCCAGGGCCCTCTCGCTGCAGCGAGAACAGCCCAGTATCTCGCCCTGCACTCAGCCCAACCAATCATACATATACACATATATACATACACATAAACATCATTTTCCAATACATCAACATATACGAAAATACCTTTATTTTTATACAATTGTCAATAATTAAGATTACAAAATTCGGGGCGTTACAAGTTAAAAGTACACGGCCATGTACTTTGACCGTGTACATTTTTTGTCTCTAAAAATTGCCCTTGAAAGCTTTTTTGAAAAGTACACGGTCATGTACACAGCTATGTACCTTGACCGTGTACATCTCTGGTTTTCATGATGCACTTCAATTGACGTGACTACTAAGATACACGCTCATATACACGGGCGTGTGCTTGCCCGTGTATATCTCTGACTCTAATTATGTGCTTAATTGATGCAACCAGTGAGATACACGCTCATGTACACAAGCGTGTACTTGCCCATGTATATCTCTGGTTCGTTTCTTACTTCAATTCCCAATATTCTTTAAGCTCTCACTTCTTGATCCTTTTTCCTAAAATATAAATAAAATGTACTCAAAAATTGATTATCATTCATGAATTACATTTTAGGATCAAGTATTGAAGTCATTTATCAAGGGGTGAGTATAAACATTCATAAATAATGTCATAAGGCAATACTTATGCTTAAATGAACAAAAAATCAATCAACAAACCAATCAACCATTTCAATGTCTTTCGTTTATTATTTCTCCATGGAGTAATTAATTAATTATCTAACACTATAAACTCTAAGTTGAAGATTGAGAGTTATGTGTCTGTAGTCCGGCTAGTGTCATAGTTACATCTTCTTCCTTTATCAGAGACAAAACATAAGTGCACATTTTGTTTTATTGTCATTAACAGCAGCCTTCACTCAAACCAATCATGGTATGCTCTAGTCCTGTTAGGATATGTTAGCAAAATTCTCACTATCTACGACACAAGTTAGTCACTCTTGGTCTCCTGTAGTTCTTGGGCACTCTTTTATCCTTTATGGTCACACCAATACTATTTGCTCATTACTTGGACTGTAGCATATTCAACAACTTTCCTTGTGAATTAATTTATATTCACAATCACGAACAATTTTACAACCATTATCTTGTTTAACAGGTATATTATCACAACTCTAAAATAAGAAAACAATCAATTCTATGTGTAACACCCTACATTTCTCCATCTTAATTATATTAAGTTTATAAAATTTAGAAAGAACAATCAATCTTTTCCTTATAATAGTTAATCAAAATTTCCAAAGATAAAAACTTTTCATCACAGTTAATTTGTATAATGACAGATTTAAGAAAATAAACTACATGATATATATTACAGAGTAATATTTACATATCATTATCCAGAATATATCAAAGTTTATAGTAGTTCATACTCCTTCTCACATACTGAGGACCTGAAACTAATCATCTGTATCACGTCAGCTCTTAATTTCGGCCATGTCTTCAGCGGTTAATCCATCATCCTCTCCAAGATAGGCGTCACCAGAATCTGTCACCATTTCTATACTAGGGAATCTCTCAAGTGTATAACTATTAGGTTTTTCTAACAAATCGTGATCATGATAAGTAAATACATTATTCATGATCCGAGAAGGCCTTTCTATTCTCTGGTATAAATAAAAACTAAGATTGATGAATTTGACCACCGGTTGGAAAATCAAAAGGAACTACATAATTATAAACTACTTCTAATGTGTACTCCTCATCATTTACAAAATATACTCTAAAATGTAAATGTACAACACGTCTATATTCCCTAAATACATAATTTAATCTACAACTAGCATAAACATATATTATATCAATCTGCATGGGATGTGTTGTCATCTTTACTACCTATTGAGTGATGTAAGGGTGAACAACTATTCTATTTCAAACATAACACAATTGCACCATATCACTTATCACAATAATGATAAATATGCAAAAATCATCACTTCATATCACATATCAATTATTCTCTTCCTAACACACAAATTCACACAATTGCATTATATTCTTATTGTTTCATTTCCAAATATGAACTTTCAATGCACTGTGATCACAGTCATTCAATGCCTCTAGCAATTCTCGAGGTCTTACTCAATCATATAAATAATTGCTGGTTAGCTCATGTAATGCAGATACAATGTATGCAATCACGAGCCCCTTAGCACAGTCATAGTCAAGAGTCTAGTCAAGAAACAATTGTGAGGCCATATGGCTCATTCGCACTCAACAATAATATGTGCACAAATATAAATGTTGCTCACTACCCTACATTTCTCTAAGATTTCCTTATCGTCTCTGGACTATATACCCCCAGTATATCTCTGTAACTATTTACACCAATCATTCAACTTTCTTATTCATTTACCAATTCCATTCCAAAATCGTGCTTAACAGCACTTCCTAACCAATCTCATATCTCCAACTCATGGTCTCAATACCCACATTATTCAATAAATCATCGATGATTTGTTCATCATATTCAAATATTTCTCAACATTAAAGTCATATCACATTCAATATCTCGAGATTTTACTCAATCATATAAATAGTTGCTGGTTAGCTCATGTAATGCAGATACAATGTATGCAATCACGAGCCCCTTAGCACAGTCACAGTCAAGAGTCTAGTCGAGAAACAATTGTGAGGCCATGTGGCTCATTCGCACTCAACAATAATATGTGCACAAACATAAATGTTGCTCACCACTTACATTTCTCTAAGATTTCCTTATCGTCTCTGGACTATATACCCCTAGTATATCTCTGTCAACATTTACACCAATCATTCAACTTTCTTATTCATTTACCAATTCCATTCCAAAATCGTGCTTAACAGCACTTCCTAACCAATCTCATATCTCCAACTCATGGTCTCAATACCCACATTATTCAATAAATCATCGATGATTTGTTCATCATATTCAAATATTTCTCAACATCAAAGTCATATCACATTCAATATATTCATCACATATAATCAAAACTAGTTTAATCATAACATCATCCTAGCTTATCATACATTTCATATTTACATAGTAAAATTGTCAAGTTTGTAATTTATTATTGAGTAATCTATAATGTTTTCTACTTGTTAAATGTTAATTAAAGGATTATTTAGTATTGGAATAAATTTAGATAGAGTTTAAAATTATTTTTAAAAAAAATGTGAACAGTAAATCCGACGTGAACAGGAAATTTGGCGTGAACAGTACTCAATTTTTTTTTTAAATTTTGCATATAAATAGAGCGCCTTACACGAAATTTTTATTCTTTATACTTTTCAAAGGTTCTAGAGAGAGCTA